CTCCCTCTTGCATTCTAGTCACCTATTATTATTAATGCATCTTGATTTCATGTTTATTCAACTTCAGGCTGCAAATGGTAGAAATCCTCCAACTGTTTATCTTTGGAATTAGTAGATAGTGAGTATATTTAAATAGTTGTGTTAACAGGTTTTCTTTGTTTGCATATGAATTTTATCCTATCACTCACAGCTCTGTACTTCAGGAAAGACTTTTAAATGAATGCTCTTTCTGAGTATGAATACAACATTATTCTTCCTCAAATTATCATTCTATATATCCCAAAGAGACCATAACTGACATCCAAGCAGATATATGCACACCCATGTTTATCGCAGCTCTGTTCACAATAGCAAGGAGTTGGAAACAACCCAGGTGCCCATCAACAAACGAATGGATAGAGAAGCTGTGGTATATTCACACAATGGAATACTATGCTGCATTGAAAAACAAGGAACTCATTCAATATTATTCAAAATGGGTAAGCCTGGAGGACATTATGCTGAGTGAAATATCTCAGTCACAAAAGGACAAATATTGCATGGTGCCACTGATGTAAAATGGGACTGATATCAGGGTTGGGGTAAGACTGAGAAAAACGGGATAAATTGTGTATACTGCACTGAAACAGATGAGGGACTGAATCATTTAAAAGCAATGTATGATCAGGTATTATGGTTATCACAAGAGTCCACAATTAAGGTTGCATAGTGGAATGTACTTGGGGCAGTGGGAGGGGTGCAGGAGGATTGTGTACCAGGGAGGGAGTCTTTCTTTTACTTTTGAAAGAGAGGAGCAAACTGGGGGGGCAGGGGGAGAGGACTGGGCGGGTAGAGAAGTGCAGCAATGAATGAATGGAAATCCAAAATCTCTGTAAATGTTCATTAAAATTATTTAAAAAATTATCATTCTAGGCATAAAAGAGCATATGACTGTCAGATTCAATGTGGCCAAAACCAGTCCATCTCAGTTCACTAATGCCTAGGATGTCAATCTATGCATTCCACTTCATTTTTAACAACTCTCAATTTTCCCAGATTCATACTTCTATATTTCATGTCCCAAATATTCACAGATGTTTGCAGTGGCTTCCCCTTATTGCTTAATATCTTCTAATCTGTGAGGATCTGCTCTTGGTACTATAACAATGTTCTTCTGCTACTCATAAGGTTTTTGAAAGCCTATTATTTTGGAAGTAGATGGCCAATCCTGCTTCTGAGTCTATAAGCTCTGCCAGAACATGTTCACCATGGGTGACCTTGCTGGTATTTTAAATATTAATACCATAGCCTCCAGCATTATAGCAACACCTAAGTCATCCCAGTATAGCAAACATACAGATAGGTGTTGTACCCATAAGAACAAACTAAGCATATACATACATAAACTATAAAAGAAGCAGCAACATGCAAGCCATCCCCCCAGTACAGCGAACTAACAGCTAAGTGCTGTATCTATAAGAGTAAACCATAAAACAAATAAGACTACAAATATAAAGTAAACAAGTGTGTTATGAGAAAGGTACTAGGGTATATCAAGAGGTGGGACACCCAGCACAGTTTCTGCGGGCCTCTGAGCTCCCTGTGCTAGCCTGTCTGTCTTCTTTGTCAGTCCAGAGGATGGGGGCCTCCCACTCATAGCAGATGCCCCTTCTATATGGTGGTTGATGTCAGGCCAGGAATGCCACAGTTCACTGGTCCTGGGAAGAATGCTCTGAGAGTTTCTGGATCCAGAAACAAGATGCCAAGGGTGTGGCCCGAGGCAGAACTGTGGTGGCAGGTAGGGGTGGGGAAGAACACACGGTGAGTAGTTGGTGGCAGGTGGGGGAGGGAGGAACACTGCTCACTACCTGATAAGTAGTTGTGGGAGGTGGGCACTCGGGACAAAGGGGCGACTGGATCTTTTCAGCTATGTGGATATTACTGCAGCTGCTGTGACCACCTTTTTAGATTCCTATGCCATGTGGATAACTGTTCAAAAGAACATTGGATGTTGGCGGCAACAAGGGCACTGAGGGCCCTCCCTCAGGGAGATGGCGATCTGAGTAGACTCAGTGAAGTACAAGCTGCTTTGAGGAAAGAGGGAAACAGAAGAGTCAGAGGAGGTGTGATGACAGAAGAAGTATCAGACTAGTGCAGCATGAGTAAGACTTGATCGGCCATTGCTGGCTTTGAAGATGGAGAAAGGGCTTCCTAATCAAAGAATGTGGGATACTTCCAGAAGATGGAAAAATCAAGGAATACGAGTTTTCCCAGCAAGAAGGCAGCCCTGCCAGTACCTTGCTTTTAAATCATAAGGGCCCACCCATCTCATATTCCTTTCCTCCAAAATGTTAAGATAATATATTCACATTATCTCTAGCCACAAAATTTATCACAGCAGTTCTGTTGCCGTGTACCGCTGAGTTAGAACTGACACAGGGTTGACCCCTCAGAGAGCATTTAGAGCAGTTAATCTCATGGGAAGAGAGCAGTTGATGGCTTTGAACCATGTGCCTTCAGGATTGCAAAGCAGCTTCTTGCCACTAGGGGAAAAAAATCCCTTAGGAAATCTATGCTTCCTAAAGACAATAATGAGATCTTATTGCTCGCTTCATGATCTAATGACAATGTTTTGTCCACAGTTAACCAATGACCAGTTGCCCTTGAGTCAATTCTGATTTGCATTTCCACATGCATAAGAGTAGAGCTTAGGTTCACAGGACTTTCAGTGACTGATTTTTCAGTCACATCACTTGGCCTTTCTTTCAAGGTGCCTCTGAATGGATTCAAATCTCCAACCTTTTGATTAGTAACCAAGCACGTTAACTCCTTATTAAACATTAACTGTTTGTTCCACCCAAGGATTCCTGCTCACAGTAAAAACAAATGAAAACCACTGCAGTTGAGTCAAGCTCCTTAAAGTTGAACTGCTCCACAGGGTTTCGAGCAGATGGCCTCATCTTTCTCCTATGGTGGCCTCGAACTACTGACCTTGCAATTAGTCCAGTGCTTAATCCACCATGTTGTCAGGGCTTCCTCTTGCCCCCCTATCAGTGCTTCATAAATACACACTATATGTAATCACTTGGTACTTGGCAACTGGATGTCCTTGGGCTTTTCATGATATTATACATCTAGCTAGACTAGAAGTTTCTTGAAGGAAAGAGATCTGGGCGCCTCACTGCAGGTCTGAACAGAGGAACATGCTTAGCTATGAGCTGCAAATCTTTTGGGATTTATTTGGAATAATATAAAGCTAGAAATAGAATTGCTTCAGGAACAAAAGGAAAAGAAGAAAAAAAGAAAGCAAAATAAGTTACGATTCTAATGTGGGAATTTTAGAGAATTAACAAGGGCTGGGAAGGACTATCTCTACACCCTTGTCTGGAGAAACCCTTCCAACTATACCCTGGGAATTCCTGTGCCACAGAAAGTCAGGGTAAATTTTATGCAGTCAGCCCTTTATGAGATGCTATGAATTCACAGTACATCTCCCCTTTCTAGAATATGTGCTTACTAAATCTGTTCTCTGTTCATCATTAAAAAGGAGAGATCAGCAATTGTTTCTTTTCACCCCATAACCCCTCATAGCCCCCTGTGTCACCTGTCTCCCCATGCCAAGCTGGCCTTGTTGAGATAATCTATGGCAAGAAAGTAAGGCAGAAGAGAGCTAAACTCCAATTTTTAATTACTTACAAAGTACAAAGATAAGAGCATACAATAGTCATCAGTTTTGAATGCCATCCTCCTTGGATGCTGTCCAGGCCAGTTTCTGATTGAAACAGTCTCATGCCGTGACTGTAACTTTACACATAGGAGCTGAGAAGAATGCAAGTGTTTAGGATAAATTCCAGGCTCCTGATTTGGGTGATGAGGAAGAAGGTTCTATATTACGCAAAATTTGAAGGGAGAGAGAGAAGTAGTTTTGGAGCAAACACATTCAGTTACAAATGGAGGTTGTATTTGAGAAGCCTGCAGTAGACCTACCTAAAGACATCTCCGCAGACACTTGGAGATACTATGTCTATGGTTCAGGACTGAGATCTCACCCCTGGAGATATCTACCTGAGAATCAGCAGTATTGGAAACTGGTGCTGGAAGAATAGATTTCATCTTGGAAGATGAGAAGGGGGAAAGGGCAGAGTCCTAAATCTTGTCAACACCAACATTTAGAAAACAGGTTAAAGTTGGAAAAAACACAACAACAACAACAACAAAGATTGAGAAAAAGGTGATAGAAGTGACAGAGAAACTAAGAAAAGTGATTTTAAAAAAAGTTAAAGAGAAGGTTTCAAGAAGAGTGGTGCTCAATAGTATCGACTATTTTAGCAAGGTCAAAGATAATGATGAAACCAGAAAAGAAGCCCCAAGATTTGATAGTCCAGGGGACATGAATACACTGGCCTCAGTAAGGACAGCTTTGGTGAGGGGGTGTGTGTGTGTGTGTGTGATTTGTGGGGCACCATGGCAGAAATGAAATCCCAGAGCATTCTCTTAACAACTAAGTTGCAGCTAAGGAGCCTACAGCAGATGCATCTGAGGACAGAAAAATCTAAGGTCCAAGAAAGAGGTCCTGCCTATAGGTTTATATCTGAGAGTCACTAATGTTGAGAATTGATGAGAGAAAACATTAAATCTGAACACTGAATGTCTGGGAGTGATGACGGAGAAACAATGGTTGAAAGATCATTTTTTAAAGAAGTAGGAAAGGGCAAGAAGGAAAGAAATGGAACACACGAGGTTTGAAAGGGAATCACTGGTGAGAAGGACTCTTGTTTGGTTTCATTTGATAATATAAGAAATTTGCAAATGAGATAAAACCAGTGAGTAAGGAGAAATGAAGACATCGGTGAGCAAAGAATGAGAGCACTGGGCTGAGGGACTGGGCCCTGTTCCAGGAGAGTTTTGCTGGGACTGAGTGATGATGATGGATAAGGCCTCACTAACTGCCCCATATTGCAGGGCTGAAGGGCCACTCTTCAAAGTTGCTTCTTTGTGGTTCAACGCCAAACAAGCCTTACCTCGTGGAGTTTGTCGGCCTTCTGGGTCTGCTTCTTCCGACTTCTCTGAGCAGCCACGCGATTTTTTTCTCTCCGACGGACCTTCCTGTCATCATCTTCAGGACTCTAGGGGAAAACATATGGCCAAATGTGACATTGAAGCCTCTTACCTTATCCTTCTCAGTCTTCTCCCTTTACCCCACTTGCCTGCCAGGCTTTGCTATTTATTTGCAGCCACAGCAAATGTGGTAAAGCATTGCTGGGATACGACTGATGTTAGGTGTTGTCCAGTTGATTCCAACTCATCATGGTGTCCCCAGGTGACAGAGAACTACCCCATAGAGTTTTCTAGATAGTCCTGTTGATAGAAAAAGATCACAAGCTCTCCCCCCACAATGGATTCAAACTTCTAAGTTTTTAGTTAACAACCCAGCTGGCTTTTAACTGCTCCCACCAGGGCTCCTGAAATAACAACAGCTCATTTTCAAAGACCAATTTACCAACCTTCTACCTTCGCTATTACCACAGCCACCCTGAGAAACTAGTGGTTTGACTGCCATTTGAAAAGATGAGGAATAAGAACCCAGAGAGCTTAAGGAACTTGGACCAGGTATCACAGTTCCTAAGTGGCAGAATGGGAAGTGGAAGTCAGGTCTGTTGGCCTCCAAACCAACGTTCACAAATTTCTATAGGGCGTGTGCCTGGGAGAGAGGTGGTGTAACTGCTGCCCATCCTAGACTGAGAGAGCCAGAGGGCATCCAACACTTGCTATGTGCCAGGCTTCCTAGTGCCACACACAGAGAGGTACTGTATGCAGATCATGATCACACTTCTCAACTCTACCAATGGACAACGTGAACAATGCTTGGCTGACAAGTGTTTCCAGAAGTCAAAGTGAGTCAGGAAATGAGCAAAGAGTCTTTAAAGTGTTAATATCTACTGTATATGAGAGTTAGTTCAAGTTGGCCAAATCCTGCAAGATTTCTTATGAAACAGGCAGTTAGAATATCTATTTCATACAGTTAGAGAAAACACTGAGAAGTAGAATAGTATTTGCTTTCCAGATCCTGGGTAAAGATACCAAGGAGGCAGGGGTCAAGGGGGGCACTGCTCAAACAATTTAAAAAACAAAAGGTTAGTGGAGCTCAAGCACAGGAAAGCCAACCAATTGTTAATATTCATAGGAAGCAAAAAATATCAATAAAGAAATGTTATCATTTTATCTGCTTTTGTTATTCTAAATACACAAGACACACCATTACCTTTCCAAGTTACCTCAAGCAAAGCAATTTTCAAATAAGTAATAATATAGAAGAAGTATAAATAATATACACAACAAAGTGAAGTAGCCTGGGAATAACAACTATCAGATATCTTCCCATCCCAGTGACAATAGCAAAATTCAACAGAGCAGCAAACAACAAATGCTGGTGAGATTGTGGAGAAACTGGAACCCTTATTCACTGTTGGTGGAAGTGTAAAATGGTGCAACCACTATGGAAGGCAGTATGGCACTTTCTCAAAGAGTTGCCAATAGAATAGTGCCACTGTTGTAAAACAGGACTGATATGGGAGTTGAGGGGAAAGTAGAGAGATGCAAATCAAAACAACTATGAGATATCTCACCCCAGTCAGAACAACAAGCAACAGATGCTCGCGAGGTTGTGAAGAAACTGGAACTCTTACTCACTGTTGGTGAAAGTGTACAATGGTGCAACCACTGTGAAAGGCAGTGTGGTGCTTTCTCAAAAAGTTGCAAATAGAGATATCATCTGACCCAGCAATTCCACTACTGGGAATATACCCCAAAGAGACGATAACTGTCACCCAAGCAGATATATGCACACCCATGTTTATCGTGGTTTTGTTCACAATAGCAAGGAGTTGTAAACAACCTAAGTGCCCATCAACAAATGAATGGATAGAGAAGTTGTG